GTGCCAATTTTTTTTTCCTAATATACATGTACTACATAACCCTTTTTTGACCTTACTCTTAACTTGGGAATTGTTGCTGCGTACCTGTCATATGATATGCCACTGTAATGTAAAGTTATCATAATAGATTCTTGTAATATTTAAAGAATTGGGGAAAACCAACTTATGTAACAAGAACAACAGAAATTGACGAAACGGCCTTCAGGAGAATGAGATATTTTTCTACATTTTATGTAAATTCTTTTCTTTCATTCTAATTTTTTAAGATGAATAAACCCCCCAAAAAAGTAAAAAATTTAAGGGGGATCCGAGGTAGAACCACGTCCATGTTGTATAGCCTGGGAACATAAACATAATGTGGCAAAGAGTTCTATACAAAAAAAAAAATGTGTGGGGGAATTTCTGTACATACAAATTATCTAGCATGTAAATGAGGGTTTTCATTTATTAAAAAATATAAACTGTACCTCAGTTTGTTGGTTTTAATCGCGATTCTACGAAAACATTTGTTTCCCTTTTTCAGTGGTTTTCGCATTTATAGCTGAGTACTAGATTCACCGCTTTTGGCAGATGATACTGCTGATTCAGTAATGAATACGCAACTTTGTTAAAATTTTTATATATAAATGAATTTTTTAAACCTAGAAATTTGCCTGAGAAGTGTGAAGACTTTCTGTGCGCCGACAAAAGAGAAATCGGCAAGAAAAAAAGAAAACGGGACCGTCGGGAGCCGGGAGTCGGGAAGACTAGATTTACCGCGTGCATGTTGGTTAAGTTTTTTTCGTTTGTCGTGTTTTTATGTACTTTTGTACTGCAAAGATGGTCGTTGGTTTTGCATTCATGTATGTTTGTTACGTACGTGTTCGTTGGTTTTGCTTTTATGTATATTTGTTCTGCGAAAAGGTCTGTTGATTATGCATTGTATATCATTTGTTAAGTTTTTATGGTCATTGAAATAAAATAATTGTTTGTTTTCTTATCATTGTAATTTTTGCCCTTTCCGCTGCCCATACTGGTCATAATGGAAAAACGATTTGTATGTTTTTACTGTATGGAATTTCAATAATTCAGAAAGGGTGAATTTTAATTTCTTACATTGCTTCTAAATTTTAGAAAAATACAAGGTCAGATTTATATTGAAACCGTACTTTGTGGATTTCATAAAATGAAATCATAGGGGACATGTATTGCTTTGCAAAACTCTCAAAGTGCTTGTTTTACTGGTTTTTTGGTACAATCCTTTCTTAAGCAACATCGCAAGCACGGCAAAATATAATACATGTAATAAGTTTTAATATTTTAAAAACAAAATAAAAGCGTCGATTTCAAGTACTAATTCACGATCCACAATATAGTTTTGATCCATGTTGACACTAATTGTTTTAATGTAATGCTAAATGATTTTTTGTACAGTACCCGTAAGAGAAGGACTCATAACAAAAGAGCCTGATACCGATACTACCACCACAACCACCGCTAAGGATCAAACCACACATGTAGTATCGACAGAACAGAGCAACACACGTGTAGTATCGTCAGAACAGAGCAACATACATGAAGTATCGTCAGAACAGAGCAACATACATGTTGTATCATCAGAGCAGAGCAACATACCAGCAGTATCGATAGAACAGACCAACATATCTGTAGTATCGTCAGGTTTTCTTTGTCTATGTACCTGCACAGAGGAAGACAATTCAACATTAAGTACACCGGAACTGGAAGTGAGAATATCAGACATTATACAGAATCTGGCGGTTCCTAAAAATACAACATCCAGCTTTATAAGGAAGAAGATATCTGTCTATGACAACCGCCCGGATGTGGTGTACGTAGGGTCTTTAGGGATAGCAGTAATATGTTTCATTGTTATTTCAACTGTTGTTCCGGATATCGTGTCTGTTTTGTGTTATATTACGACTCGAAACGAAAAGGAGTTGTAAAGGTCTTTCCTAAATAACGAATGACTAAAGAAAGGAAAACTTTGTAGATTTAAGAAATCTATTTGTTGTAGATTTAAGAAATCTATTTATTAATTAACTATTATGACTAATTTACCCTTAAAATGATATTATATGGATAGTTTTCGTGCGACTTGTTTTAACTTCGAGTTATTTCCCTTAGCCGCCATCTTGAAGGTTTAACTAGTAATTTTTTTATGATTGAGCAACCAGTTTTAAATATGTAAGTCAGAAATATATTGGCAAAAAGTCTTTGAAACTAAAATTACGATATAAAAAGAAAAGAAGATAAAATCTACTAGTATTTTTAGAAATTCTGTTTAATTTGGATTTGTTTGCCTCCAAAATGGCGACCAATGGAAAATACTTATATATATCTGGCTAAACTCGTATCTTTCGAATACCATCTATATAATTTCTACTGCTTTGGAACAAACATATTGATTCAAGACCAGTAAATTTAAAATACTAGTAGTGCTGCTGTTTCAAATATCTCAATTCTCACAACATACAAATTTCAGAAATAAGAGCGAATTTTA